TTTTTTTTTTTTTTGTTATACCAGGGATTGAACTCAGGACCCTCTGCTTGCCAGAGAGGCACTTATTCCACTGAGCTATCTCCCCAGCCCACTGTATAAACTCTGCTCCTATCCCTACGTGCTTTGAGTATTCTATCTGGCCAATATTATGAAACACTGGGAAATTCAGGAGTTGTGTGTACTATAACTTGCCATCTATGCTATACCATCTCAGAAGCAGTATGAAACAAATCCACAAAACAGATTGCACATTACCAGTTTCTTATGTGTGACCAGCTAACTAAAATAAAAAAGTAACAGTAGACAAGACTCATTAGGTAAAAAGAGAAATCAGGCTATTGACGCTACTTCTACATAAAAACTATTTTCATATTTCTACATTTTACTCTCCTCTTTGAAATGAGCTTTTGAGTATCTGAAACTAAGTGACAAAGACAATACATCAGATTGAGGTGAAGAGAGGTTGAGAGGAATGTATTTCAAAGATAATATATGAATGGCAATGGGGAGAGAAAAAAGCTCACCAAGGATCTGCCTGCTGGAAAGTAAGAATTATGCTCCCCCATCTCTCCCCCTTCTCTTCCTTAAACTTGATCGTTTCTCAAACTGACTTTCCTTCTTTGGTTACCACCTCTTTCTGGCATCACTATCTACCTATGAAGCCGGGGCCCTGGAGTAGTCATTGAAGACATGAGTTCATTAGGCATTTCCCTCCCTTTCATTTTTTCTATTTGATCATAGGTTAAATTTTCAAAGAAACAATCAAGGTGAAGACACATTTCACAATAATTTATTACATATTTTGCAAAAACCTAGAAGAGAGCAGTTCAAAGTTTTCCAAAGAAATAATAAATGTTCCTTAGAAAAAAGCTAACTACTCTGATCTGATCATTACATGTGCTATACATGTACTGCATCATCATACTGTACTCCATAAACATATAAACGTGTCATCTTAAGCTGAAAGAAAAAAAATGTCAATCTTCTAAAAATGAAAGAATATTTGAGGCAATTACAGAAAAAGGGAAGAGGAAAAAAAAAAAAAAAAAAAAGCCAGGGAGATGGCTCTCAGTAGAATAAGTGATTCCCTGGCAAGCACCAAGGCCCTGAGTTCAATCCCTGGTTCAAGAAAGAGAGCGAGAGAGCGAGAGAGCGAGAGAGCGAGAGAGCAAAAGAAAGAAAGAAAGAAAGAAAGAAAGAAAGAAAGAAAGAAAGAAAGAAAGAAAGAAAGAAAGAAAGAGAGAAAGAAAGAGGGAAGACATAGGGACAGAGAGACAAACTGGCTAAAAGAAAAGTTGACACTTTTCTTCCAAAGTTTCAGAAATTCCCAGGTGCCTGCTGAACTAGAACCTCTGGCATTCAAAGCCCTAAATTACAAAGCCCTGTTTTCCCTCTCACTTGCATTCCCACCTTTGTACCAACAGGACTAGAGGTTCTCGGAAAAGGCTGTAGTGGGGACCTTGCAGTCAGGACTGCAGGCTTCAACCTAAGCAGCTCCACTTTTACAGAATAATGGGAAAACATTTAATAAATTATGTGGTATACAGAAGGTTGGCCATTTTTTGCCATTACAGACTATATTTTGGAAAAAAGTTCCATGATCCAAGAAAATGTTCACAATGCTAAACACTATTTATAGCATTATCCATACACTAAAATATGTAATAAACCTAGAAAACATTCTAGAGGGAAACACACTCCAGTGTAAACCAATTATGTCAGAAAGACATATTTATGGGTGCCTTTTAAACTTTTATCAATGAATATTCATTTTAAAAATATTTATATAATCTTTTTAAAAATTAAAAAACTTGTATTAAAAAGTAAAATTTCTTTTAAAAAGATTATTCTCCAAACCCTTGCTTGACATTTTCTCCTTCTCCAGGCCCAGAGTTGAGAAGTTAGACCTGTGCTGCAGTCTTCTCAGACAAACACCTGACAGTTGCTAGCAAGAAGGGAAAAAGGTGAGGCTGCTGGCCCCAGACGTCTCAAAGACAATAAAACCAAAGCCAAGGAAGTAGAAAGCACACCAGGTGCATTTCTCTGGGCATATGCCATGTACACATGTCTGTGTATATAGATTGACATCAATATCTCCTTTCAGTATGGGTATAGAAGCCAGAGCCTTTTTTTTTTTTTTCTTCTTCTTTTTTTTCCCCCCAACATTTCTTACTTTTTTATTCCAAGACAGGACCTCATTATGTCACTAAGTTGTACCAGATGGGCTTGAACTTGTGATCTTCCTGCCTCAGCCTCCTGGAGTACTGGGATTACAGGCATGTATGACCCAGCCCAGGTTTACTTCAGTATTTCTGAATTACTCATACAGTTCTTGGTGTTTTAATTTTGTCAGCTACTTATACAGGGAAAAACTCAAGAGAATCTAAGCAAAAAGGAACACAAATATCAACACTCAAAATCAGCATAAACATGCTCATTGTATTAGGCAGCACACACATTAAAAATTGGCACAGAGGACTTAGCTTTTCCCAAATATCAGAGTTCCACGGAAGCGAGAAATCTTTACAACTTACCAGGTGCTTTGCCTTCGCGCGTTCCTCCTCATTTGATATCCTCTCTCGAAGGATAGCTCTGGTTAACTGCTCATTGGCTGCAGCCCTCTCTCGGTCCAGGTCTTTCGCTTGCTTTAGTCTGAAAAGACAAGAAAGGTCTCACTTACAAAAACAATTCACTTCTGGACATTATTTTTTGTTAAACAAAGAACATAGGACTGCATAGCTGTGTCAAGAGCTGACACAGAAATCTCTCCACCTGTTTCATTGGTGCTTCTGTCTGCCCTCTAGAAATTTAAGTAACAAAACAAATCACCTTGTGATAAATATTTGAAGGTCTCATTGTTTACTCAAGGTGCACCAGACACTGCCCAGCCTTAGGGACACAGTGATGGACAAGTTGGACAGTTCTCTGTCCTTAAGATCCTCACATTAAAGTAGCGATCAACTAACATTACAGTAGAGATACCTTCCTACCCAATCTATTGTATCTTTCATCCTCACATGTAAATAAAGCAATGTCTTTCAACAGTAGGCCCTAGTACTTTCAGAATGAGGCTAATTTTTCTCCTTGCCTTTATACTGCACCAACATTCCAGATATGGTTAAGCAAAATTAAGACAGGAGAACCTGGAACTGTACATAACACAAATTGTATTAACAAACCGTAAGATTGCATTGTTTATTAGCAATCTCACCACACAATTAGATCACATTAAGCTATAATCTACTAAAACTCCTCATTGTACATGATAAAGATAAACTACTTTGGAAACTGCTTTGCCAGAGCGTTAGGCACAAAAAGCCATACAGTAATCACTGAAAGAACATCATACTGTCATCTCAGGGACAAAGAGTATCTGATTGCCTCTTCTTCGTTGAGAGAAAAATCCCTCTATAGCATCATATCCTCAAAAGTATAAGCTATGCTTTAAAATGAAAAGGTAAAATTGTTATATTGGTATAATTCTGAGTAAAATCTTGTAAATGGTAAGTACTAGCCCATGAAATTTTAGTTTTAAAAGCATTCCTGAAAATAACTATAGAAGATAAAATTTTTTGTCAGTATTTTTAATCTGCAACATCATCCTGATACTCAGGAATTCCCAGAAATCAATTATAGCATAAGATAGTTTTATGAAATATATTCCAAGACACAATGCTTTGCCCCTAAAATGCAAATCCCTGTAGTTTTATGTTGAATTTTTTAAAAAGAATAGAAACAAATTACAACCTGCAATTTAAAACAATGGTAAAGTAACCTTCAGGAAACTTTCTAAGCAGTAAGCACAACAATACGCAAACCAAACTTCTCTAAAGCATTTTACAAAGACTGTAGAATAAATTCAGCAACATCAATGCTGTCAATACATTAACTCCACTGGACCGGTAAGGAAACCCCAACAATTAGAAGCTTGTGTCACCTCCCCAGAGGAGCAGTTCTCAACATGTGGCAGACAACAAGCAACAAAAACATCACCTTGGATCTTGCTAGCAAGGAAAGTGCTCAGACTCCACCCCATACCTACTGAACAGAAACTGTGAGAGCAGTGTCTAGCACATTGCCTTTTAATAAGCACTCCAGGTGATTCTGAGATGCTAAACTTTGAGACCCACGGCTCAATACACAAACCCTGGAGATATATCAAAGGAAAGTAACATCAAAATGGAGTAATCCACTTGAGCATACTGTACTGGTAACTGCTGAGGTTACTGAATCAGGTTAAAAACTGCATTTAAAGCACTTTTTTGGGTATAAATTAACATTACTGTCATTTATGGATTACTTACTACATGAAAAGCACTGTGCTAGGCATTACACATACATACACATACACACACCTTATTAAGGTGACATTAATTCATAACAAAAATGAATTCTACACAACTACATTTTATCAAACCATTTCCTGTATTACATTTTAAAGTAGTAAACAATAGCTTTTCTTCTGAGTTTATTTGTATGTGGCACATATATTTGTTACAAATAGAATTATGTGGTTCAACTTAAAGAAATATAGGATCGTAAAATTTTGGCAAGTGAATGAAAAGAAAACAAGAATATGAGTACAAAATGTTCAATATTATAATAAAGTGAAGGTTATTTAGCTTGCCATACCTGGTAAAAGTGAATGAACTAGACTTGGAATCCTGGGTCCACATCAAGGCTCTGCCCCTACTAGGTAAAGTAAGTATTCTCCCTAACTTCCCTTAGTTTGTCATTCTCATGAGTAACATGGGCTGATGTAACATTTACCTTACAGGGTCTACATGATGACAATTAGCAAAATGTGCACAACAGGTTAAGTCCTCAACAAAAGTTAGTTTTGGTTGATATGTAGATGTGCCTCCAAAGCCTCCTGTGCCCAAAGGTGGGTCTTTTAAAGTGTTTGAAGGGCTGGGGATAATATAGCTCAGTGGCACAGGACCTGCCTGGCAAGCATGAGCTCATGAATTCAACTCCTGGTACAAATACAAAAATAAATAAATAAAATAAAGTGTTTGGACTTTTGAGGAGTGGTATGAAAGGCAGGCTCTGATCAGAGGAAGTAGGTCACTGAGAGCATGACCTAAAAGAAAATCTCTCTCTCAAGCTGCTCCCTTGACTCTCTCCGCCTCCTGGTTGCCTTGCTGTGGAGTTGCCTAGTCTTCCTCCCTGCCCTTGTATCACCCTATCCTTTTTTAGAGTCAACAGACACACAAAGACTAAGACCACTGAAACGTGAGCCAAAAGAATCCTTACCACCTCTATGCAGTGAGTGGTGTCCCAGCAAAGAAGCAAGTGACTAGGACATTAGAGAAGTAGCAATACTAATAATAGTACTCACTATGGGGTCAGGAAGACAGACGAAACAACCATTTTCTGAAATGAAGAAGAAAATCTCTAAATTCAGTTAACATACTGTGACTGCACGGCTTTGCCTTTTCCATCTTCTCTACAGTATTTTGCCAATAGGAAGTTCTGCTTTATTTTTATCATCTTCAAAGACTTCTAAAATTGAAAATGTACTCTTGACTCTAGCAACCTTTCTCTTTGACATGCATTTTCCTTTCTTCCTCACCTGCCCAAAAGCTCCTTTGCTCACTGATACATCCTCAGTGCTTATTACTGTACCTGCCACACAGTGAACACTCAACAAAAACTTAAGTACATGCATAGAGGTATGAATCAATGAGTGGCGCCTTTCTAAACAGACCACCCCCCCCAAAAAAAAAAAAAAAAAAAAAAGTCAGAAATATATGCTGTCATCAAGGCCACATTAAATGGCCTACAACAAACCAGAATATCTACATGTAACTGTGTTTGAGTCTTAGATGCAGTTTGTCATGAATTGACTAAAATTATTTTTCTTTCTTAATTTGCAGATACTGTATCTTTATAAATACAATTGCACACATTCTGTTTGTTTTATAAGAATCTGTTCTATGCAGTGATTGTTTTAAGAAACAGAATTTTGTATATTCAGGGAGCTTGGCAGGGGATCTCAAGGCAAATTTTCATTTTGTACCAGCAACTTAGCTGTATAATGGAATAAATCAGTTTCTCTTTAAAATCTTAAGGATGAACTATATATGCTTAAAGCCCCCTGCAGCTAATCATCTTATAAATGTCATACCTCGAACACACTATTCTCTATGCCATGAAATTCTTGAAAAAGGCATTTGCAGGGGATAAATGAGAGACGTTATCTCCAAATTTTAGTAATACTACAATTTTCATTCAATGGACACACATTCCTACTCTGATTTTTAGATTTTTCCATTTAACAAAAATTGTACACCATGTAAGAGTAAATGGATCACAAAATCATTCAGTAGCTAAGCACTGTTCTTATTACTGAGAAAATAATGGTGAACAACAGGCACACTATCTGCCCTCATGATGCTTAATACAGATGACAAGTGCATATTTTTGCTTTTTAAAACTTTTATTAGTACATGTCTGTAGTATATAATGTTGATATGCAGTACAGGAACATAATACATCTTAATTATGTATTCTTCTCTTCCCCTTTCCCTTCTATTCTTCCCCCATCTCTTGTTCCCTCCCTTTTCTTTTTTTCTTTTTTTGTACATGTTCACATTACTAATACGATAGGACTGCTACGTGACTTGATGTCTAAATGACAGTAGGCAAGCCACAAGGGCAAGGAAGAAGTGCCTTAAGCAAATAGAAAGCACCAATTGGAACTACAGGTACCCAGAACATATCCTCTGAAGTCCTGTGATGGCTCTACAGGGCACCAGAAGCTTAAAATTGTCTCTAAAACATGGCATTTTTATTCAAGATATTTTGGGGGTGGATAGCTTAGATAAATGATCAACTAATTAAGGTTTCATTCTTTCCAGGGTCTTTAGAGAAGTAAACATTACAGATTAGAAACTTCTATCCTCTTTTTCCCCAATTTCCCCTCCAAAATACTCATTTATAGCACTTTTTCCTATATGCTTCATCCCTCATTGATTCATTTAAACTGTCTGACAAACTATCACCACTTTATAAAGAAAACTATATGCCCCAAGTCCCCAATTCTTTTTGAACTTTCTCTCTGGGCCCTTGGCTTCATAACCCACCAAGCTATTAAATGACCATCTTTGAAAGACAGATGTGTGTGGTCAACCAATTTTTCTTTAAGCCACATGAGATAATCCTGCTCTCTGAATCTTTGTGAACACTACTACCACAATGGTAGACTTTTACCATCAGAATCGAGGCTATTTCTCAAACATGCCCTGGGCAAAGAACAGGGACATCTGGACAGTGAAAGTTAACACTTCACTTGCCATTAAGTGAAAAGGCATGGGATGGAGTAAGTCTTTTGTTATTAACTTAACTTCCCAAAGATATAAGAATTGTCCCAAAACAGGGCCAAGGATAGAGTTCAGTAGCACAAGCACCTGCCTCACAAATGCAAGGTCCTGAGTTCAATTCCAGGGACAAAAAAAAAAAGTCCCAAAACAAAACACACTAAGTAGTTGAGTGAATGTATTTATTCCCTTTTTTTTTTTTGTTCCTCTCCCTTTTTATTTATTAGCATTTCCTACTTATTATTTCACATCTCCTAGTCTAATATTTTTCTATATTAAGCCCCTGATTTAAGTTTCATTTGAATTCCCTTCTTTTATAAATACATTTCT